TATTGATGAGATGCTGACGAAAGATACAGAGATATGAGAATTGTATAATGTAATCCTAGGTTTTCATAGCATATATTGGATGGTCCAGGAACAATGGAAGACTTTTTATTTTCAGCTTTCCTCCACAAAACTCAACGATTTTCTCCAGTTTTTTTTATCAAAAGGTGTGCCGTAAAATTCTATACTAAAATATATGAAGATATTTAATCGTAAACTGAAGCATGAAAAATTGGACACAAATAGTATTGCGAAACTCCAGTATATCCAACTTTCTAAAACAAAAATTCTGAAAAATTCAGGCTGATTTCTTTAGTTGTACAATTCAAACATTGATCAAGGCAAGTTTTTCGTAGAATTAACACATTCGACACGATTCGATCTTATTAGAGAGTAGTTCTACAGATTCATTTGCGTGTGAATTCGTCTTTCCACAAATCCACTTCTTGGTCTTTCCATTCTGTGCTGGTCTGTCGTTTTCTCTTTTCTGTTTATAACATCACATGGAGCGAAATGACCATCCTGCAGTTTCGCAATAATCTTGTGATATCTTTACTGCACGGCATGCCATTCGAGAAGCTGAAATCTGATCCGAGACAAAAATCAGCAACCCATTCAAAGCGCAAACTCGCTGATTGCAAGATCGAAAAAAAGGAAGGATCTATGCGCAATATCGGCAGACACTGTACTGGCTGCTATGCAAATGGAAGGGCACAACAGATAAGAGAAGCGAGCTATACGGTAGCAAAAAAAGTAAAAACCTTTTGTTCTGACAGTGATAAATTTTTTTTGTCTTGATTGTTTTAACAAGAAGCATCATGCTATGGAATAAAGGACTCAAAAAGGTACTGAAGGCAGAACAGATGACACACTATGTTTAATCTCCTGCCTAAGAAAAAAGTAAAAGAAAGTACTTTTCTATACAGTTTCTCGTTAAAATATAGCGTAGTCCACCGGTGGGCCCCATCGTCCCGAACGTGTTAAACGTGCTCTTTCTCTTATATTTAGCTTATTTTGCTAATAACTTCATTCAAAAAAAAAGAAAGTATTCATGTTTTTGTGGCTTGCATGTAATACGCTATCCATTCCCCTAGAACATCAAACAGAAATAAACCCGAAAGATTAATAGTTGATCGAGATATGCGAATTTTCTTGAATGCTTGGAAACGGCTTTTCAAAAACATGATTTGTGATGTGAAAACAATTTTTAATACAGCTTTAAAAAGGAGCTTTTCAAGTACTTCAAAATGACTCAAAGTATCAACAAATAAAACAAATTTGAGATTAAACGATGTTGTATATTCTTGTAGAGAATTTCACGACGCATCTTTTGGTAAAAAAGAGCGGAAAAAAAATCATCTAGGCTATATGGTGGAAGACTTAAAATAAAATGTCACCCATTTTCCCTGAACCACTCGATATTAAGTATCATTTCTATTTTCCTGATCATTCTCCGTTTTTCTCACAGAACTTATTTGAAAATTGATTTATTCACACTTTATTTCTTTGAGCAACATCTTTTTTCAAAATTCTACAAAAGTTGAACGTCTAAGAAATATTAATTTATATACAAAAGAAATATCAGACTATACATACCACGACGGTAAAGCATTGCTCACAATGAAAAAGATGCAGGCCACAGTTACAAGGCTGCCACTTACAATTGCTAATACTCGTTTATCTAAAGCCATTTGTTTTGCTGTTAGAAGTAAAATGCTCTCATTGATCTCGTATGTATATAAATATATATATGAGTTAAATATTTTGCTGATGAAAGCATATTTATCTTTCTATTCTCACCGTCGATAAAGTAGTGACTGCTGTTACTGGCAAACATTATTTCAGATTTTTTTGTATGCTCCTATCAAGCTAGAAGAAAAAAAAATAAAGTGCTACGTGCGATATCAAAGAATGACATTTTATGATGACATAGTAGAAATATGTAGACATAATTATTTATTACTTGTTATATCAGTATTAATTTTCCATAAATATTTGTTCAATATCGAGCTATTGGGTTGGCCAGAAAGTTTTTGCGTTTTTTCTTTAATTTTCCTAGAACAGTCAAGAAAGTTCTCGAAGTTTTCATACTGAGGGTATGTAAAGGGGGTACGAATCGCTTTCGAACAATAACAAAATCATGGATATGGACGGGTGTGGGTGTCGGGTGTGGGTGTGGACGCGGGTGTGCGTGTGAGTGCGGGTGTGCGTGTGGGCGCGGGTGTGGGTGTGAGTGTGGAATGGGTGTGGATATGGGTGTCTATTCTCTTCAAACAGACTCACGCCCACCCACACCCACACCCATACCCACACCCACACCCATACCCACACCCACACCCACACACCCACACCCACACCCACACCACCCACACCCACACACACCCGCACCCACACCCACACCCACATACCACCCACCCACACCCACACCCACACCCCACACCCACACCCTCACTCGAATAATATTTAATAACATGGCAATTAACAATAATTTCGTTCGGTTTCTTTTAATTTCATTTCAATTCAATACTAATTATCTTTTTCTAATATTTTGTGTTATTTTTCTACAATGATAAATAGAATTTTTTTTATTCTTTCGATTATTTAAATTCGAAAAAATTTATTCATTCCAACTTACCTATAACAATATTGTTATCTAATACATTCTTATTTGTAGCACTATTGAAACGTTTTGAATTTGGTGTATTATTATTTTCTTCATTTATATATGAATGTTTATCTTGACATTTTCATTTAATAGTTGTATTTAATGAGCAAATCAAGTAATGAACTGTCATCATATTTTGATGATGAAAGTAATAAGAACGAAGAATGTCACGTTGTTGTTTGATTACTAGTTAAATTAACTGTATACATGGATTCATCAGCGTTATCCATAAAACATAAACATTCTCCAAACCACTAAAAACAATATTATGTAAATATATTATCTTAATCTTTTGTTTTTCCCATGTTGAAGATTCATTCATTGCTGTTGTATTATTTCAGCTGAAATATGTTCTATTTAATTTTCCAACTAATATTCAATCGGTTAAAACTTCATAAAAATGATCGTAACTCGCCTTCGGAATTGCCCGACAGTTCGTGTAACTTAATATACTACATTTCACATAACAAATAAAAATAATATAATATAATGGTTTAGCATGATATATTTAAATTTCATTTTTTTTCCATATTAAATGATGTCCAAAGAATTTATATCGAATGAATTCACAATCAAATTAAGTCATTGATGTTGACATTACATAGTAATCTGCACCTATTGATAGAAAGTATTGATTTTGACAAGCAGCAGAGCTGATTCAACAACATGTATAATCTACTTCAAAGAAAAATACCCTACAAGAAGATGACAACATACCTTTTACATGTGAGTGTGTGTTCGTCAACTCTGTACGCATACTAAACATGTAAGAGAAACAGAAAAGAAAAAAGAAATAGGCCAAGAGAGCAATATTTCTTTTTTTCTTCTCTCGTCCATAAGTCATCGTCCATGTTATCACTGATGATCAACACGTACAATTAATGTGTGAAAAAAATTAAGCTTTATCCACACATATACACTGAGATATTTGTGATCGAATATATCTCAATGTATGTGTATGTCTAGATTAAAGCTTAATTAAACTCGACGTCTGATTATTTTTCGACGAGAAAAAAAATAATGAATATTTTCTTGCTCAAGAAAAAAAAACAATTTTTGGGGGTATAAAAATGAATGATTTTCAACGAAGAAATCATTCAATTATTTGAATCAAATAATAACGATTTTGTTTTATATTTTAGGTTGATTTCGACGTTACAGAATTAAACAAATCAATAACAAGCAATACAATAAAAAAATGTAGGTATTAGTTTACTTTTTTTTTTCTTTTTTCTTTTTAAAATAATATGGAGGGTAGTAAGTCCCCCACTGATATTTTGTTTTTCTTTTATTTCAGCTATTAAATATTAAAAGTAAGTAAAATTTCTTTCTTATATATATTTTTTTTCATTTAAGGTATTCAAAAATGAAAAGAGAAATGATAACAGTGAGGTAACTTAACAAATTCTTTTTCATATGATAAGATTGATTAAAATTTTTTTCTTTTCTTTTTAGTGCTCAACATCATCGCGTCTTCTTTATCATCGTCCAACATGAACAACATCATCTAATGTCAAAGCACGTGAGTAATTATTTCTTTTTTTTTGAGTTGAGAATAAGGGAGAGGGAAAAATTGAGAATTGATAGTGACATTGAGATTAAGGAGGGTGAGAATGAGACTAACGAAAGTGAGTGTTAGTGGGAGACGAGGGTGAGTTCTGTCCGTTGAGAATTAGGGTTTCGTCTCTTATGAAGGACTTCCGGGCAGTCCCTAAATGCTCGGCCAGAAATCGTCTTGGTGTCCGTGGCACACGACCAGGCTTATTCAGACTCATTGACATATCTCTCGCGGGGAGGATATGAATGATATGAGTCTGTTCTGTGCGTGCATGAGCGTTACGCTCGCCACGACTCCACCAGGATGGTTCCTGGTCGCGCGCGCGAATAGAATAAGTCATTCATTTCACCAATTCAATGCAATTTATTTGAAACGAAAGGAACGCAAAAAAAAATCTATCACGACGAGTCTATTCGATTGAAAAGCGTTGAACACGAGAATTCGCATAATCGACGACATAGAGATTGCCATATCGATCGAAGGACAAACCGGTGTCACCGTTGAACTGATTAGCTGCTTCTCCTTTACCATTTCCACCCAGAATGACAGTGCCCTGTTTCGCTCGTTTAGGCCAACGCATCACTCGATGATTCCCTAAGTCTGCTACATAGATGGTACCCAATGTATCGACGAACAGTCCTCGAGGATACCACAATTGTGTCAGAGCATCCCCTTCGCCTTGACCTCCAGCGACGACAATTCCTTCCTTTGCACCTTTATTCCATTTCATTACACGATGATTGTTTTGGTCTGACACGTAGACAGTCTGTTGTTGATCGACAAAGATGTAGTTCGGCCATTTGAGCTGATTAAGACCATCACCTTCGCCATTGCCACCAGCCACAAGAGTTCCATTCTTGTCTCCTATTTGATATCGTCTTACTTCATGCTTGTCGGGGTCAGAGATGTAGAGATATCTCTGATCATCCAAGGCCAATCCCCAACAAACGATGTTGTCGATGAGAATTTCTCCTTGAGTTGTACCACTACGACGAGACCATCGTACAACTCGTTGATTCCCTGAATCACAAATAATGAGATTATCCGTCTCTTTGTCGATCAACACATCGATTGGACGATACAATTGATCCAATCGATTTCCTGAGCCATTGCCACCAGCTACTACTTGTCCATTCGTATCACCCATCTTCCATTGGATGATACGATGATTCTGCCAGTCAGCGGTGACTATCGTTTGATCATCATCAACGAAGAGACCCTGAGGCCAGTTGAATTGGTTGGTGGCACTGCCTTCTCCATTGCCTCCAGCAACAGTCACTCCATTCTGTTTCCATCGAGCATCGACTGGAATATTAGGAATTACTACAATGAACAAAAAAAAAAGAAGTCGTCGTCGTCGAAGGGATTGCGTCTCTCGTGAGAGCAAGCGCTACAAAATATGACATTCATCTTTGAGAATGCTCATTCCACAGATAAAAATTCAGAAGTCTTTTCCTAGTTTCTTATGAGAAAAGAAGGATTTGATAAAGATTCTTACATCTATGTTACTTCTAGTTCTTGCCAAGATCTTTTGATCATAAAAATAACACCTGGAGATTGCTGTAAGGAGGTTCTCCAAGAAAGAGTAATACTAATTCCATGTAAGTTTTTGATAGAAAAACATAGAGATCTGAGGATTTTATTCAGAATTGCAAGAATTCAGAATCTTTTTGGCAGAATGATCATTTATATGAACATCAGAGAAGATTCGATCTGTATCTTGTGAGAAGAATATCGAATCGTTGAACAACAAAATATCAAACCTAATCCCTATGTTTTTTGGGAAACCATAAGGATACATGATTTTCTGTATGATGAATGTAGATCTGCCGAAGAATCTCCTAAGTATTTGCATAGGCTTTTGGTAAGTTATGTCAAGCTGTTCGAAGAACAACCGTGATGTACTCTGAGTAAGGTCATGAGAAGACTTGGATACAGGCGAAACTGAACAAAGTTGAGAGGATTTCACGCGAATTTATGTAATCTGAGAGGGCTTCTACTTTTGCAAATCCTGAAAAGATGGATGCCAATCCTAACGGAGTTCTCCAGTGAAAAACATTAGGATCTATGGATTTTATGGGCTTTGAAAAGAAAGTATTCTAAAATGCTATTTTTAACTTTTGATGAACACCATCTTCAAACCATTGTATTAGGGCCTTCGAAGAGAATCTTGATGACTAAATAAGATACTCTGTCAAAATCTGAAAATCTGAAAATAATGAGTATCTTCTATGAGAATCATGCTATAATCCTTGTGTAGTACTTATTCTGAGAAGTCTTCTGTAAGCTCGCATGTTACGGATATGTTCAGGAGGATCTGACGAGTAAGTATTTTGAAATGGTTGATATCAGAGATGGGCAATTCCAACTCCAAAGTTGATGCTTTTCCTCATCAGAGTGAAAATGGAGTAGGAACAGGACAGAATGGAGGTACCTATCTTTGAATTTTATGAGAAAGTTTATAAAGCAATAAATTAATATGCTACTAATTTATATCAATCGTAGATTTAATTATGTTCAAAAACTTATGTGTATTTAACTCTCGGATGCCTAAGCTAATTTTTGGAGATAATATGATAACATGTGTTCATATTTCTATGATTTTGATTGCTGGACTGGTATTCTTGCCCAAATTAGATTGTTTTCCTCTTCAGTCTTGTAAAGTAATTATTAGAATTATAGTTTTCCCTATATTTAGAACAGTAAATACAAAAAATTCCTTGAACAAAGTGCTCATCACAAACCGATTCTGGGAGGGTTTTCACTGAATTCTTCTGAACATAATGAATATCATAGGCACAAGGGCGGATATATATAATAGAAATCTTGGGACAATAATAATCTTCTCGAAGATTCTGAACAAGAATATTGAAAATAGACTAGATGCGACGCCATGCACAAAAAGAATGCAAGAGAGAAGGGATATGCATGAGATGTAAAGTAGACGGGAAAGAAAAAAGAGACAGTGAAAATAGATGCATTTTTTTAAAGATTTTTGTCAGATTCAGAATAAAAGATGTCATCGGAAATTTTATTAGATTCTGAGATTAAGAAATATATAAGAACAGAGTAAAGGACTCTGATCTGATTTTATCTGACTAAATAGAATTCATAAACAAAAGAAAGTTATAGCATTACATAATCCAAGTCTTGTCTGCTCTTATTTGATTCTGCGTGATCTATCATGTTCTTTTACTTATTTGAGAATTGTTGATTCAATAGCTTCTGTTATAGAGAAATGTACAAAATACACAATGTTGTGTTATGAAAGTCAATGTTTTCTATTATCGTAATCGTAAAATCATTTTTGACTTCACAAATGCTTTGTACAATAGATTAGTCAAGGTACAGTTGTATCTTGGAAATTTTCACATAATAGAGAACGTTTTTCTTCACAAAATATTTCGACAGAAAAAATATCGATGCCCAAATTTTTCTAAAACTATCACAAGATGAAAAATTAAATTTTTTTCTATTATCCTCTACTATACGCTGGAACATATATTTTTGTATTCCTTATGTTTCTATATTGGTATCATCAATACAGAAATTATTTTATTTCATATGGTTTCTTTCTATATTGACAATATAGAAAATAATATATTAATTAATTTTTTTCTACCATATGCCTGGGAATATTTTTCTATAAATATAATATAGAAAACGATATAATATTTGATTTATTTGAACTTATATGCTTATACATATATTTTTATTCTTAGTTTTCTATACTGATATTGATAATATAGGAAGCTTGTTAGCGTAGCCCCTTTGAGGCTGAAATGTGAAACTCACATATATTCTCTAGCCTCATTAAACTAATACAAAATATGTAAAGTGAAAAATCTTTTGTAGACTATAGTTATTTTGTAGGATAATCGAACATCAGAGTGAGAGTGTTTCTAATTTCTGCATTTCGAACAGCAATTTTCTTTTTCTACGGACACCCTATTTTTTATTTTGCATTGTTACTATTGGCTCCTTATTATTCATTTTTTAAATTCGTTTTTCTTAATTTAACATTCTTGTTATTATAATCATTGAATTAATTGGTAAATACATCTATTTTACATATCCATTATAACTCCATTGAAATCAGAAATGAAATGAATGGAATAGGTCTTTTTCTTTTTACCATGTTCAACCATTTCAATTCATTTTCATTCCAATTATCAATAGGCCAGTTCAATAAAATTATGTTTATGAGATATAATATGATATGTGACTATGTTTGCGATAATGTTCAAATTTCATACGATTTCATGTACGTAGTCTGCGTTTGTTGAACAAACGACTGTGCTTACGCTAATGTCTAATAGAGAGTGAATGAAAATTAACCACTTTATCAACGTAGAAAATTAAAAGAAATTACATGACGATGAAGAAATGAACATTTTCATGAACTAAATACCATAATTGTATTTCTAATTTAGAAGTCATGAACATGATGAAGTTTTATTGATTATCGAACTCCATGTTCAACCAGATCATAACTTTCTAGTAAACTTTGTCAAAAAGATGAAATCCTGGCATTCTAATTTTCAAACTAAATTTTCACATGATTTGTCTAAGATATTAGGATAGACATGCAAAGAAATGAAAACTCCTTTCTGATTCTAAATATCTGTTAGCTATCGATAAATTTTGAGATGAACAAGTTAACATATCAGGATGAATTTTTTTTAGACTTCAACTATGCAAAGAGCTTTATTGTTGTACTTGATACCTATAGAACCTTGGCTATGTGAAGATGATATTTGAAACAAATATTTTAGTTCTAATCACTAATGAATTCAGTCCGAGAATCTTAACTTGCTTCCGAACATGGAACGTTGTGTAATCTAAAAGATGGTATAGATTCTCTCTTGCAATAATATACTAACAACATCATCAGATTCTGCATGACTAAGACGGTAGACTATGTAAAGACAAAAAAAAGGCATTTACACACTTCAATATGTATACACCAAAAATGATT